GTTTGTGCCATAGTAACTAGCCAATAAAGATCCGGGAAACAATTCTTCGATCGATGGTTTAGGAAACAAATCTAATTTAAATTTATAATGTTAAAACAAAATAAAAGGAATCAATAAATAAAGATAAAGGAAAAAAGAAATTCTAACCTGCTCTCGTAAATACATCTTTTGTAAGTCCCAAATCGGTTGTAATGATATGCCATGCTCCATTGAACCAAACCTATAAATTTATTTATTATTTTTTTTTTTTATTTTTTTTTTTTTTTTTTAGAAAATTTATTTTTTAAAATTAATAAATCGTATAAGAATAATAAGATTCTTTACTTTTCCAATTCCTTCTTTCTCAAGAACTTTTTGTGAATTTTCCCAAAGTTTGTCAGGACCCTCATTAGAAAGCAAAGATATAATATATCCAAAATAACTTAATGTTGGCACATCTTTAAGTCCTTCGGGTACTCTGATTGATTGATAAATTTATAAGCTATAAAAGATATAAAAACCAAAATGGTTGCATAAAACATTTTATGAATTATTATAAAATTTTTCCAATGTGATAACAAAAAAATGGGTGGATTATATATCTGAAAAATCTCGGCCACTATTTAATCCATTAATCGGATGAATTATGATACACATACGAAAAAGGTGATTTGTTTATTATAAAAGAAAAGTAGAACTTTTTTGCCACACAAATATTCAAATAATAATGCTACAAATCGACTAGTTTTATTGTAAAACTTTTTTTTGCCACAGATCGACAGTCTTATTGTAAAATAAAAATTATTTCTGTTTTTTAGAGTTTTTTTTTTTTTGATAATTCGAATATAATGTAACACAAAATTTGCTTGGAGACTCGTGAAATTCTTCTTATAAATTATTAAATTCAATTTAATTTAATTGATAAAAGGCCTACCTGATAAAAGATGTTCTTTTTCATATTATAAGAAAATTTCTAGCATCACAAGTAGGAGACCTACAGAAAGCGAGAAATGAATGCCAATTCCTTTTACAAAAAGAAACAACTAGGTTAGCGTCGATCTCCTACTAATAGGGTTGGCTGTAATTAAGTCTCCAGCCAGTACAGGATAATAATAATAAATAAACTAGAAAACGGGAACTGTTATGAGTCCGGAGTGAATAATTTTCTTTTTTAAACTATGTAATACTTTATTTATTTTTTATTTAAAAAATAATATATAAATAATTTTAATTTTTTGTGTGACAAAATAAATCTTTTTTTTTGTTATTGTACAAAGTTTATCGAATGACGTTACGAGGCGTGACCAACGGAAATATACAGGTGATATAGTTAAAAAATCACTTATTTCGTCAACATATATAGTTCTACGTTTCGTTCCGGACAAATAACGAACCCTCCCTTCTTCCACTTCTAGCCAGTTATGTCTATGTTAAGCAGTCCTAAGCGGTCCTAAAAGTCCCAAGAAAATTTCAATGAATTATTTTCACAAATTTATTATTTAACTTGTATATTATAATGTTTTAATGAGCTACTTAATGAAAATAAATAATAAACCCTCTTGGAATCCCAGAATTTCTTAAAATTTATAATTTTAGGATTTGGGACCGGTCACTAGGACCTGGCGGTCCCATCAAAATTGCCAATTTTGTTTTTTACAAATTAATTATAAAAATATTATGACATTTTTTTGATGGGGTTACTTATTATAGATAAGTGATTAGACTTCTCAAAGAGATAGTAATCTTTTATATCGCCTAACATCCCTATGTCTCATAATATGCAAAAAAGCAAAAATTTTTATTTGTTATGTGAGAAAGAGAAATTTATCATATGTATTTAATTATTGTGAATGATTATACTCAGATTACTGCAATTAAACTGGGTTGATACATTTCAATTTTTCAGTTTATTTAACTAATGATCAATAAAAAAAAAACTATTTTTAACATTCATATATGTACTGATTTAATGCTGATATTAAATCAAAAATACTTTATTAAATTTAAATTTCCCATGTATTTTGAATCAAGATTATTGTATTAAGATCAACATCTCAAATTTGACCGCTTGAAATATTTGGTTGGGACTAGGTTGTTTGCATTGTATAATAATATAGTAGTGTAAATAACACCTTACATGACATTAGGTTCTGAAATTTTGGAAAGAAAAAAATATAAAAAACCATTTGACATTACCCGTAAAATTTGAAATTCATTCTATGCATAAATAAGTTTTTTTTTGCTAATTGTTTGTAATTTATGTATTAACGATGCCACTGTTAAAGAACTTATTCGTGAGGTAATTAATATGCCAATATGTATTTCTGTAGTACAATATCATTTGTATCAACTAAATTTATATTCATAATAATTTAACAATATCATCCTTTTTTTTGAAACTAACGTAAAAATCTAAAATAATTACACGTGGAGTAATTTGCAACAGCAAATGTTTAATTATCTGAACCGGATAATTATAAAGTAACTTCACGGAATTTCACAGTTACTATAAACAATGCAATGATTGGTGGATTTTGCCACTTCGTGGCAAAACATCCAATCATTGCATTGCTTACCGTGAACTGTGTATCAATAATGAGAATAATTAAAGTTTATATTTATTACTAACTAAAAAAATTAGAAAATCAGTATGATTTGAAAAAATTCTTGGTTATGAATATGCTGATGGTGGCGCACACTTAGAAATTATTCGAAGGATAATTTTAATAAGCTTGCTTGGGAAATAAATACAATTTGGCATTTCAATTGTCTTGTGCTGTATTGTATTTACATAACGAAGAAATTGTACATCGTGCTTTGGTAACTATATGTCTAATTTGTTTCTGTTAAACATCATTTTAAGTAATTAATAATAATGTTTTTATATGAATAGCATTCGGGCAATATATTAATCCATCAAGGCATTATTAAACTAGCAGATATTAGTTTATCAAAATAAATGAAGCGGAAACTAATCAGTCACAAAAGTATTTATTGTAATTCCTTATATTGATCCAAAAGTATATATTAGAGAAAGAATAATAATACATCGATACAATATACACTAAACGAAAAGTGTGACGTTATAAGTACTTTTTTTTATACTCTATTCTCCAATGTGCACAAAACACAATTTCTATAAAAATTTTGAGCATTATAAATAAACAAAATCAAATTTTTATAGGAAATAATTATGAGAAAAATTTTAAATATTAAAAATTAGATTATTATTAAGTTATATAACTTCTACTATTATGTTCAACAACATTTCCTGGTAAAGTATGTTCTTCATTAATATATCTAAGAGAATGATCTTTCCTTTTTCTATTCCATCTATAAAATAAAAATCCACATGCTATAATTATAACTGCGCCTAAAGTTCCTCCAATTGATGCAATGGCAATTTTTATTGTACCTAATTCACTATTAGAATTATTTGTAACAAAAATAATTGGCGATGATTTTGGTGTTGATGATGGGTCAGAATTCGTTACATTTGCATTTGTAATTTCAAATGAATTAACCCACGTATAATTTCTAATATCCATGATATAAATATTAGGATTTTTGGATGGTAATGGAGCAGAATTTGGTTGTGTAATATTACCTATCAAATTAAAATAAATTAAAATGTTTTGCATTATTTCATTAACCAATGTAAAAGATTTGCTTACCAAAAGCTACAATCATATAATTTCCAACCAAATTAGCTGTATGGGCTATAAGTGATGGAACCTTAACAACATTTGGATTAACTTGCGGCACGATCAACTCAAATTGTTCTATATTTAAAATAAATAAATCTGGAACAACTTGTCTATGTCCAACAGCTAGAGCACCTCCGTAAATAATGATCTTATCATCTGAGGCTATTTTTAATAAATAAAGAGCAAATAAATAAATAAATTAAGATGATATATAAACTTTAAATTATAATTGTATACCTAAGACCGCCGTATGACCATAACGATTTTGAATTATATTTGAAGCTGTTGCTATCTATAAGTAAATATATTTACGTTAACTATTTTAATATTTAATCACAATTTTTTTTATATGATAATTTTGATACATACTTTCACTGACCAAGTTAAGGTTTTTGTATCAAACAGATTAATTTGTTTAATGTCAACTACTCGCTGAGTGTCTTCATTCATTTCTATACCACCAATATATACAATAACTCCATTAGATAATAGTGTTGCGGTATAAGCATATTGCGCATTAGGTTTACTAGCTGGATTGATTGACCATGATAATTCAGCTGTATTTAGGATGACCATATCATTGAAATATATTGATGTTGTTGAACCTAAATATTCATCAGCATTTCCACCAAAAATATATATTTTTCCGGTATTATCAATTACACCATTAATATTTCTTCGCCTTTCAGGTGGAGTCTCTTTGATATTAGGTATATTCCACGATAAGGAATTTAAATTAAATGAATGAACATTTGATACAAAAGCATCTTGTTTCAGATAATTACGCATTATTCCACCAAATAAATAAATAATTTGCTCTTTATCATTTAGTGAAACTGTTCCAAAGCAACTTCCGAATGGTATTCTGGCATTTTGCGTAAGGTCAATCCATGATGGAGTAGATATATTAAATGGCCGAGATAAATCAAGATAAAATACTTCATTTGAATATTGATTAGAGTATCCACCAAAAAAATAAAGTTTATCTCCAACAAGAACAGAGGAATGACCATAACGCCCTATAGGAGTAAATGGCTCAACTCCAAAGAATAAGCAGCTTAACATAAAAATGGTAAGTAATTTATATTTTTTATACGTCATGATTTCAATAATTTTTTTTTTTTTGTAATTAAATTTTAATATCCGTCAAAAAAAAAAAAGGTAAGTTTAAAAAGTTCATTATAATCCTTTATTAGGAAAATTTGGTTGCACAGATATGCGATCTTATTTTTTTTTTGTGTAAAAATATACGGATTCAGTAAATTTTGTGTTACATTATCATTTATTAAAGAAAACAAAAAAATAATTTAACTAATTCAAATTTGCTATAGTCGGATAATCAAATTTGACTTTGACGAATAAAGGGTAATATGTTTATTTAATTATTGCTTAATTTTCAATTTATTTTTAAACATTTAAATTTTTTTTTTTTAATTATAAACATTTTCAGTTTTTATTTTGAGAAAAATGTTTTGAATTATAAGAAAAATTATTTTTTAATTAAAGAAAAAATTTTATGATATAAAATTTGCATTATTTTTAAACCAGAAGAAGACCTAAAAATGCTGTTTAAGAACTCCTGACCACGACTCCTATGGTACAATTAATGTGAACCGACAGAGTAAAATGTAATATTCGAATTACTTTGGATTGTATTTATTCGAACCTAAACGCTATTGAAAATTAACATTTAATGTTGAGAAATAATTTCTCACAATATTAGAATTCTGTTTGTATTCAGTTCTTTCGTTTATGTATTTATAAACAATTTTGTAATGTAAGCAGAAGGTATTTATGAATAATTATTGAATAAATATGAAATAATTATGATAAGTATTTATTTAATAATATCAAATTAATCAGTGTTGCCTCAACGTCGGCGCTATACACTTTCGCTATATCAATATATTAAATTAAGTAATAATAAAATACTAATAAAATCGGGAATTAAAAATAAAATAATAAACGAAATTACAAATGCGAAAATTATAAGTTAAAACGGCGAAATCGAAATTATCGCGGTGTAAAAAGGAGGATTTCGAAGGAATGTAGATCAAAGAAATGTCACAAGGGCGAGCGTGGATATTGAGCTGTTTAGGATTTCCAGCTCGGTATATATAAAAAAAAAAAAATAATTAAGCCAGCCTGGCATCTTGAACATTTGTCATACTGGCACCAACCTGGCACCTTGACATCCTGGCACTGATAAATGATCATCAAAGAGACTAACTGTAAATATCGAAAGCGATTCACATGCGGAGTTATGAAGATTTCGGCCGGCTAAAAATTCTTTAATACCAGTTAAAATTTGCTAACCGGTCCGGTTAATTAACCGATTAAAATTAACTTAGGCCAGTACTATAAATTTAGCCAGAGTTAGACAACATTTTTGCAATCATAAATTCTTAATTCTGGCCAGAAATCAAATTTTAGCCAGAGTTAAATTCATCTATTTTAACCGGTTAACATGTTAACCGTTTTAACCGATTCCAACCTCTAATGTGATGAATCTATATTACTATTATTGCAATGAATGTCATACAATTGTTTTAATGTTAAATTTCAAGTAACAAAAAGGTAACGAATTCACATTTTCGAATTAATTATATTATGTAAGGTCACGTGATACATAAATTTACTATAAAAAAAATCCTGAATTTGACACAGCTGAGTTACGAGAATCTAAACATTAACTTTTCCTAACCTTATACGATGACATCCTAATAATTTTATAATATCTGAGTTTCTGTACCAGTTTTGTTATAGCAATGCCTTATTTTCATAAATAAGCAATCTTAATGACAGCAGATAACTTTTCATAATAATGAAAAGAAAAAGTGCATAACATGAATTAATGTATCAAATAAAACTATATTATATTTGAAAAAAACCTTTGATATAAAAATTAGTTCTGCTGAGACTCCATATATTTGGTAGTTTTACCCTAAAGATAGCTTTTTAAAGAATAAAGATTATTTAATACAATTAGCATTTAAACTTTTTTTCTATTACTTGTTATTCAGCTGGATACAAATGAATTTAATTTAGCTTTGATCAGATATATAAAAAAAAGAATGCATTTAAGTTTAAACAAAATTAAAAATATGTATAAATTATCTACTTTTTATTAAAATTATAATATTATAGTATTGAAAAATCTAGTAAAGAAATTTATGAAATTTATCAATGTATTCATAAATTTATTTTATTGATTTTATTGAATTATCTATTAAAAATAAAAAGAAGAAAATAGTAATTAATTAAAAGAAGAAATTAGAAATCAATAGTATTTTAAATTTAAATATATTTATAGATATTTTAAAAAAAATAATTAAAATAGTTTAGAGAAATATACTATAAAAGAAGTTCTTAAAAATAATGTTATAAAAAAAAGATGGTAATGATGAATAAAGTTCAGTTACTGAAGCTAGTAATTATTAATAATATATAAAACATTAGATTGTATTAAATTTTAATTTTTACTCATTTTTTAAAAACTTAATTCTTAATAGTTAAATATATTCAAATCTAATATAAATAATAAAAAAGTTCAAAATTTAAAAATTAAGAATACATTAAGATTTATTTTATTTTATCAGATTATGCCAGTTTTTTCAAGTTTTGCTAATTTTAAAATTTCTTCAAATTTCATTAATTTTGAAATTGATAAAAATTTAAAATAAATAAAAAGCAAGTATTTTATTAATTACAAACTAGGTTCATAAAATAATTAATTATAATTGAGCTCAAAATGTTTTAATTTTATATTCACTATAATAAATTAAATTTATTTATTTTAATATTTATACAATATATTTATTTAAATTTGTAAAATTGGATAAATTAATTTATAATTGCTAAGATAAATTTTTAAAAAGTATAAAAAAAAGCAAATAAAATTTTAAATATAATAATTAAAAAATTTATTAAAAATGATGGTAAAACAAAAAATTTACAAAAAATTTTTAATAATAGTATATAAAATAAATATAATTTATCATTATTTTTTGTATTAATTATGTATATTAAGTTTATTTGATAATATTATTATAATGCAGAAAGTCTATACTTAACAATATAAATATAACATTTAAAAATATTTCAACTCTTTAAAAAAAATAAACTAATAACTTTATTCATTGAGATAAGCTCTATTAATTACCAATCAGTTTTTCAAAATAAGTTCTATATAAAAAATTATAGATATTAAAAATTGGATAATTTTTATATAATTATCCTGAATTTGAAACATATATTATTAATTGAAATTTATAATAATTTGAGCTAGTATTATGGTAATTAATCATAATGTCAGCCTGAAATATTATAATTTAAAATGATATATAAAAAACAAAAGATTAATATTTAATTTTTGAAACATTGTTAAGTTAAGACTTCTGTATTAATTTTATAAAACTAAAATATACAAAATTTATATTTAATTCATATTTTAAAAAATTATAAAAATTAAAATGTGAATATTATAGATAATATTAAATAATTATAAATAAGTCTTCAAAAATAATATAGAACTTAAATTTAATAATGAAAATATATGAAATTAATATATTTTTTTAAGATATTTTTTACAAAATTTTGTAAATTATTCTCATATAAAGGATTATAATCATTTTTATTTTAATAATTTATTATAAAGTTTAAATAAAATTTATAGTAATAAAGCTTATTATAAATCTTTATATAAAAATAATTCTATTATATATAAGCAATTAAATATTTTAGAGTTAGCTTTTATGTTAAATGAAAGAAAAAATATTTATATATATAAATTAAACAATATGAAAATAATTCATACAAATATATTTATTATTTAAAATCTTAATTAGTTTTTTCTACATATTTTTTATATTTATATTTGTTTTTATTTTTATTTTATTAATTATTTTATTTTTTTACTTTGAAGGTATAAATATTTATATTTTATATTTAAATATTCATTCAAATAATTAATAATAGTTTTATATTAAATATTTTAATTAAATATAAAAAATTTTGAATTTTAAAAGAATTTGAAACTTTAAATTTTTAAATAATAAAATGTTATAATTTTATGTTGATTATTTTCAAAATTAAATTTTAGATATATTATATAAATAAATGAAAAAGGTTTTACTTATTAATAGATAATAAACTATAAATGTTTAACTAAATAAAGTTTATGTATTATATAATAATATATATCAAAAATCTCATTTTAAATTAAAGGTTCTGTATTCTGATTTTAATAGTTAGCTTTTATATAAAAAAGGCTTAAATTTATAAATTAATTAAATTAATTATTATTTCTTATTTTTATATTATAAAAGTATATAATAACATTCTTTATTTTCTTTTCTATAAGTAAAATTCAAGATTAACATCTTTAAGTTTAATAATATTAAATAAAATTTTTTTTCATAAGATATTAATATTTTATCTGCTTTTAAATACTTTTTTTTAATTAGTTTTATTATAATAAATAAATACTGTTATATTGAATATAATTCCGCCTGAAATATCTATAATACTACATGTGAATTACTTTCAATATTTGCAGTTAATCTTTTAAAAATATTTGCCAGACTATCAAAGTACCAACGTACTAGCATAATAAATGTTTAAAATGCCAGACCGGACTAATTATTTTATATATATATATATATACTAGCAACTCTACCGGGGTCGTTTCGCGACAAAAAAAAGGTAAAGTTTTAACAAATTCTAAGATAAATTAGGTTTAGTTTTGTTAGGTTAGGGTTAAAATTGGAGTAGATTTGGATTAAAATCAGATTAGTTTTAAAAATATGATTGAATTGAATATTACTTGTTATATTGTAAAAAAGGATAACGAAAGCAATTTATAATTTATATAGTTGATGTGAATTAGTCAAATTGTTCAACGTTGAGGTATGAGATAAGAAAATCAATCTATATTACTAACGTTCAATTTCATGTGGATTCTCATGTGAATTGTATAAATTATCAACATCATCTAATATGTTTTGATCATGTGAGCAAAGTTGAATATGATGGGATTTCTCTTAAAATAAGTTTTTCAGATCATAACTTTTTCGCCTTCCAAAATTTGACGCGTAAATGAGATATACTTTTTACAAAGCGAAACCATACCCTGAAAATTTAAAAGCTTTTAAGCATCAGGTTATAGCAATAGCTAACACCAAATACCTTTGCGACATGCCGGATATGAAAATGTATTTTATTAGTAAGAGCAATTTGGATATCGGTTAACGTTGCTTGAGAGTATTGAACAGAATCTTAGCTGTGCGAAAATAAAAACATATTCTATTGTGTGTGCGTGCTAGATTAACTTACTGTATATGGATAAGATATACATTATCCATTCATAACAATGCATTACATTGGTCGAGTAAACATTAATATCATCATGCACCATAGTTAGTTTCATAATAAGTACTTATAGCCGTCTTTTTTTATGCATTCTCAAATTTTAAGATATATTATTCTTTTTTCCCTACGAGTTAGAAAATATTTAATGAAGCAATGTAACTCCCTTGAAGACTTTTCTTAAGAATAAAAAGCATATATTTCATAGTAAAATTTATTGAAGAAATCTTGGTGATTGGTCGTAGAATTAAATTTCATAAGGGGGAACTTTCGAGCCACACTACTATATTAATAAATAAAAACGTTCTGACCAGCGTTTTTGATGTTTATTTTAAAGAACCGTTTCTATTGTTGTGTCTAAAAAAAAAACAGATAGTAAGTTTAACAAATTTTTTTTTTATTTTTTTTTTTAAATTAAAAGTTCAGTATAAGATGGGAGTGAATATTATTGTATATTGTGAGAGTAACGAAAAAAGTTATTTTTTAAAAAATATTTTACATAATAAATAATCACATGGATTTTCGTTTATTTTGTCGGATATGGTTAGTGTAGTGAAACAAAAAAAAAGGATATAAATGAAAAAATCAAATAAAAAACTTATTTCACTCTTTCCCCTATTTTCAAACGTGATGACATATTCACCGGTGAAATAGCAGAATTAACCGAATTTATTATACGAAACTTACGAAAATCAAAAAAGAATACATTAGACTAAAAAAAGTGTCAGAAACTAAATTACCTATTTAAATCTAAATAGCAATAAAATTATTTTTATTAAAATACAAAAAAAATAGGTGGGGTGACGAAGTCACCCGCAGTGAAAAACAAATCCTAGTTTACAAGGTATAACTAAAAGTGATATGAACAATTTCTTGAGCGAATATTTCAATCTTTTAATCGTAGTTATTACATGAATCGGGCTTTTTTATAAAATATTATTGTGATTCAGATAGTTATTTACGATTAACCTCTAAAAAAATAAATCTCATATCTTCAAGGTGAGAGAATAATTCTATATTGAAATGAAAATGGATAGAAATAATTACTGTAAAAAATTGTAGACGTAATTTTATGTAATTTGTACAAATAAAAAGAATAACCGCCTTAAACCAGATATGTATTTTCATATATATAGTAAATATATAAAAATTATTCATTTTTATAGAACTAACTAACTTTGATTTCAAAGACTTGGTTTTATAAAAAAAAGTTGTCCTTTTATTTTCGGAACTTTAAAAGATTATTTCATTTTTTTTTTTTGAAACTTTAAAATGATTATCTATTTTTTTTGAAAAAAATTAGGTTATCTATTTTTGCACGATCATATTCGGGAAATCATATTGAAGTGAACACAATATTTTCCTGGAAAGAATAATTTTTGCGACTTTTGATACAAGCAACGGAAAAGAAAACGACAAACGAAAAACTAAACCTACCATTATTAACATCGACAATATCATCAATCAATCAAACGAGTATATTTCGCAAAGCAATAATAAGGTATGTTGATTTTATTGCTCGACTAGCTTCTTGAAACATGTCATCACGATGCTAATCGATTTCCGCGTCTATTAGATGTTCCAAAATAAAACGGACATATTACTCTTCTTGTTATATATCAGCATTTTGATCTTCGCCAAGAAAATCATCACGCGTATAATGGGCGCAGTGAAACTATTCACATGAATCTCGTCACATGCCTTAACATCACGCTCCTCAATAAAATTTGGCGCAGTGTGTCTAATAAATTTTCAAAAATAAACATCTTCACGTGCCAAATTCTTGATATTTAGCGCAGTATCGTACTGGCAATAAAAAAAGATATTGTTAGATCAAAAAATAAATTATTTTATCAATAGATAAACCGATGTTGATAAGAATCTCATACTTCGGAGTTTCAATCACATAACGCGTTCTCAATTAATAATCATAAGCTTAGAACGCGTTTACATAATTAATGAAGTTTAATAAAAGTTTATTCCGAATCATATATATATAGTCAATAAGTCTAATATAAAACTCTTTACAGAAAATCGGCTTTCACTATATTTACTTATTGAAACTATCTACCTAGAGAAAAAATTTTTTTTACTTTTAATAATAACAGATAATGGATAACGAGTGGAAGAACGCAAAGAAAAAATTAGAAAAACTTTTCGCTGACGACGAGATGCGTGGTACAATTAAAGGTCAACTTCTAAGGATTGATATGAAGAACCGACTTGAATATTTCGAAGGAAGTGATAAAGAAGTTAAGGCTTCTCTTAGTACACTTCTTTTAGGTAAAGTTAAAACCTTTCTTTGGTCTTTGAGGCGAGTCATAATAGATAAATATTTTTTTTTGATAATCTAACATTCTAACTCATTGGTCAACTCGAACATGACGCGCTCTTTTTTATCATTTTTGAATCTTTTATTTTAGACGATTGTTTTTATACAGACGAAGACGCAAAAAGATTTTGGAATGCCCTAAATGACAAAAATGTTGAATGTGGAGACTTCCTCCAACTGCCTGAGGGCATCCATTTTTTAGGTGATAAAGACGAAACTTCAATTATTTACATTCGTAAATGCTACCGCGATTTGGCAAAGATCGCATTTGATAAGAAAACGAAAAAAAGATTGCGAATCAGCGGTAATCCGGGTATCGGAAAGACGCTATTCGGCTACTACTTACTTTATTTACTTTCGCAAAAAAATATAGTAACTATATACGATTCCCATGCTTCGAAAACTGTGCTTATCTTTGACAAGGATAGCGTCTTTCGTACTTCCCGCATAAAAGTTATAGAATCATATCAGAAAAATTCAAATGCATGGTACATTGTGGATGCTAAGATACCGGTTAAAGCTAATGCAAGAACAATTCTTTTATGTTTACCTAGAAAGGATCTCTATAGAGATTTTGACAAGTTTGGACTTTCAACAGTACGGTTCATGCCAGTTTGGGGACGAAGAGAGATCGATGAATGCAGGGACAAAATTTTTTATAACATTGAGAAAGAAAAGGTTGAAGAATTGTTTTTGAAGTGGGGAGGAATTCCTAGGTTCGTTTTAGAACAGGCTGATGATAAAGGTTATCAAGACATGCTTGAAAAGGCAATTAACAAGTGTAGCATGGATATATTTAAATACGTTGGTGAATCAACGGATACAGATGAAATGAGCCACAAGCTCGTTCACATTTATACAAATCTCCCATTCGCTGACGAAGTAAAGGACGAAAATGAAATGGATTTAGATACTATTCCCACTATTCCTAATGATGTAATGCTAGATCGACACGGCGAAGGACCCTATACAAAGTCAATCGTAAGATTCGCCTCTGACTTTGTTAAGCAAGAAGTGACCAAAACACTTGAGGAAGACATAAGGAACAAATTGCGTACTGAAACGAATTTGAGCTTAAAAGCAGGAATCAGTAATTCGTTATTGGGCATGTCATTTGAACAGATTGTTCATCGGGTGCTACGAGATGGGGGACTTTTCAAAACACGTTCTTTAGAACTCAATTGTTTAGAGGAAGACCTCATTATTAACAGGCAGAGTGAAATACTCGAGTTTTTTAAAAGTAATATCAGTGTGATCGAAGATGGAAAATACTATAAACCTGTGGAACAAAATTTTCCAACAATCGATGCCATCATTACTCCCAACAAACTTTTTCAGATGACAATATCAAAGATCCACCCTATCAAGATGAACGGTTTAAAAATACTTTATAATAAGTTAGGGGGGGAGGATGCGTCAGAAGATATCAAATTTTATTTTGTCGTACCAGAACACTTGTACGATAATTATAGAAAGCAAGATTTTCATGCATCCAACGATACTCTTGCTCTAAATGTACCACTTTGGATCCAATTTCGTGTTCAACAATATGTATTAAAAATAGTTTTGTAACTTCTGTTGACAGATTTAGTAATATAGAAACTTAACAGACGTTGTAACAAAACCAGCAAACTATGTCAACAGTTCAAGTGAAGTGAAAAAAAATTCGTTGCTTTATGGAGGGTGAGATTTAATTCATATTAGGATAGCACAGTGAGGCTGATATACTATATTAATACATAGTTACAATACAGGAAGATATATTATAGTTTGTGGAATATATTAAGTAAAAAATAATTAATTGATTTGTTTATGTAAAACCAGTAAAAATTTCATAATTTCGTTTCATGCACTATAATTATGTATCAGATTAATAATAAATTTTGTGATAAGCATTGTTAAATAATTGTGCCTGACTATTTATATTGTTCTTTTGCTTTCCTGTTCATAAAGATGGAAATGTGACCTCAAAAAAGTTATTAAGGTGAAGCAACTGAAAACTTTTGCTAATGTTAACGCTAAAGACATTAGTCTATGGAAAGTGACAATCCCTAATGAATATGATGATTCTTTGAGCAATTTCTCACTTCAGGACTAAAATAATGCGGAGTGAATGGGTTAGGGCTTAGCAGAAAGCATGATATTATTTCATTTTATGCTTTATTCTTTCCTTTAAATATGATCTACTCCAATATCTTTTATTAGTTTCATTTTTTACTTAGCCAGTTGGCCTTTTCTCATATTTATTTTATAAAAAATATAATAAAAATTTTACTTCAAATTTTTAAATGTTTTCGCTTACAAATTATAAAAATATAAAATTTACTAAACTATTCGCCGAAGTACTATATGGATTAAGTATTACATTTGCTTTTATTTTTTATATAAATCAAAGTTATAAAATATGAATGTTTGGCGTCAGCCCTTTCTGCCAATAATTAATGAAAAAAGTTCTAATTTTTTCTGATGCATCGCGATAATTAAAAGTAATATTGATCATATTCACATTTTGTGAAAAGAAGGAATTATTAGGGTCAAAGGTCTGTTTAAAGTACCTCTAGCGGTATTAGATATTTTAACAGTTGATGGATTTGATATTGTAAGTGATGATAATTTAGGGTTCTTTAACAGCTTTTTTCAATAGTTGCTCAACTTGATTTCTATTGGACTGTTCATATAAGACTGAAGAAGATAATACCTTAGGAAAACTTGTATTACTTGACCTAACATTTTCATTACGCACTTGTTCAAATGAAAGTTTTAGTGAATTTTAATTAATAGAATCATGTTATTTTAGAAATAATCACCCACTTATTTTCTACAGAATTATACTTAGTTTTAATCAGAATATTGTTGAGAACTTTTATATATTTTTTTCTTACTAAACTTTTCTTAGTTCCAGTTTCTTTTCTATATCTTTTGGCTATTTAAAAAAATAGTAAATATATTAATTCTAGATTTCACATAAAATCTAAGTAGATCTACTTATATTAAAAGCTTTTGTAAGGCTTAAAAACTTCTTTTGACAGTCTTTACTGAGAAAAAAGTAGGTATTTTATTATCTGTTAAGCTTACTGATAATATTGTCTCAAAAATCTTATTTCTTCTTATTTGAGATGGTATAATATTTGAAATTTCTTTATTTATGTTCATTAATGAGAAAATGAAGCTGAGCATTAGACTACTTAGTAGAAGAAGATATGTTTACATTAGTAAGAAAACTCTATAAAAATTGGGTCAGTTTTTTGAAAATATCAAATGATATATTTCAATCATAGCGAAGGATGATTAATTTGATTTAATAAAATAATTAATTAAATAATAATAATGATAGCTTAGCCATTTTTTCAAATTCACATAATATGCTGATTACCCATAATTTGAAAAATCACTTAGTGTTATGAAAGTATCAGAGAAGTGTTATAGAACTAGCAGGGATTTAAGAGATCACATGTAATACAAAATTTATAATTTAGCTGAATCAAAAATTATAATATCTGTTTTTTACTTAAACAATCAAATAAAAAATAAATTTGGATTTATTAGAGTATAATATTGCCAAATCAGCTAAAAATACTAAAAATACTATAAAATCAATAAAATTATTATAATCTGTTATAATCTACTAAAACTCTATTATAAGTAGTAATATTTTGGGCTTTTTGGCACAAAAAGCCCAAATGCGTCCAAAAGGTTTTCCTGGGTATCAAAAATTTAACACATAGCGTAAACCCATTGTTATTATACATGTGACTTTAAGGAAATCAATTTGCTTTCTTGTTTGGTATTCGCTTTGTAAACGTTTGCTTCCTATATGTAAAAATAAATTTCC